AAAGAAAGAAAGAAAGAAAGAAAGAAAGAAAGAAAGAAAGAAAGAAAGAAAGAAAGAAAGAAAGAAAGAAAGAAAGAGAGAGAGAGAGAATAGACAGGGGTGAGTAGCTGGGGAGATTCTCAGAATGGGTTCCCACTAACCCATGGTTTGCTTAGCCACACAAACTCTGGTTTACAAATCGCAGGAAATATTCCTGCAACTCCTGCAAAGGAGCCTCTATTTCCTTAACCCTAGTACTCCCCTATGCTCTGCCCCTAAGCTCTGTGAATTCATGGTCGGTCAGAAACCACACCAACCAGCCAGAGGAAAACAAATATAGGGGTACCTCATTACTCAACTCTTCCAAAAGTTGTCGGATTTGGTACTTGATGCATTTTGGTGCAAAAAAATTGTCCCAATACTTGTTGTTTGTTTGGTTCTTGATGCACAAGCTGGAAGCTGTCATTGTCGGCTACCTCATGACTCACTATTCTTTCCAGCCAAAACAAGGGGTCACATATTAGTTGCATGGTGGTTTTTTTTTGGCCCCTCATCATTTTTAGTACTCAACATGCCTCCCAGAACCAATTAACAATGAATACCAAGTTCCACTGTACATGGAGCTGCATGGAATGGCATGTCCTCCAGGAGTCTTTGAGCCAAGTCTATGATGTAACCAGGGTGCATCAAAAGTAATTTTTGAAGGCTGCACCACAGGTACGTTTGTCAAATTATGAAGGCTGGAACACCACAAGACTTCTATCTTTAGCATAGGACAGCTTTTATAGACAAGGTTGGGCAATTATTGAGCATGTGTAATAGAGAATATTAAATTCTGAAAAGCAATTGGGAATTTCATTCTCTGGCTTTGTTGAGGCACAGCAGCTTAGAAATGTAAAACGAGAAAACTCAAATAAGGAGCGTGTGGCTCCAATGAGCTGAACTCTTTAAGAAGGCCGTCTTTTGCCAGATATGAGTGAGAGAAGCAGGGAGAAGTTCCTTCCGAGCCCCAGATTTGACAATCATTGAAAGGGTGAATGGGTGAATGTTTAATCAACAATGTAGTGCTATATGATTTTGTTCAAAAATAAGCTGTTGAGGAGGATTAATTCCTAGACAGGCATAGCACTGCCCCCTGATTTAACTAAACTGCTGGTGTTGAAAAATGCTGATTGGAGCTAAAGTCTCCATGCAGGAGAGAGGATGAGATATGAGAAACTTTCCTACAAGGGGAAGATCTCTCTCCCTTGTAGATGTGCACAGAGGACCTCCTGAGAAGCCTCTTTCAGTTTGTTTGCTAGGAACATTTATCTTTTCAGATTATAACCAAATTTACTGCCTTCAAGAAGACCATCAGTTTTGAAGTGAGCACCAAACAAAGAAATAAAACACAAATGGGTAATCAACAGCTCAATGAAAAGCACCGCAGGAAGAGAAAAACGCCACCAATGAACCACCTCTCTTGGTGGTTCAGTGCACAATCACTTGTTTAGTTGATTGCACACTAGTAGTTCCAAGAACAATCAACCAGATGAAATCCTAGCAGGACATCATGTTGCGTAACTCATCCAAGGTAAGCTAGGGGCATCATGTGTTGTGTGACTTCTACTCACTGTGATTGTTTCAACAAATTAACAATTTGTTAATAACTTCCCATCAAAGACTCCATATCTGCTGGTCCAATTTGCCAGCTGTGACCTACCTTGTGGTGAAGCCTGGCCCTCCAGGGTACGAATTGCGACTGTACATCCCAGGTTGCACGTAACCTTTGCCTGTGGAACCCTCAGGGAAAGGCTGCTGTCCCATAAATTGTGGTGAGTTCATGCCAGAGCCACTGCTGGCCACGCTGGGCATCATGGGATTGCCAGCCGTGTTTCCTCCAGGACCCATGGGGTTTCCAAAAACCTGCAAAGGTAAAGGGAGGCGAAAGAGTTCAACTAGATCAGCAGTGCAAGGATCTATTTGTGGTCCAGCAAATGTGCAGAGGAATGAGATAGGAGATCCGAATCCAGACAGTTAAAAGAATCAGGTTTCTAGGTCCAGAAATTCCTTTTGTATCAGAACTGAGTTTACATCCAGTCCCATCAGTTTCCTCTGCACAATGCATCTATCCACACCCAGATATATGAGGAGGACTGACAATTCTTTTTCTTAGAGAATCTCAGCAACTTGCTGCAAGAAGCACTAGAGGTCAACTGGATTTCTCTTTCATTTCTTTGTAGGCTAAGTAAATTCAGGCTTGCAACGCCTAAAAGTATGGTGTGTATGGGGGAATGGGGAGGGGAAAACAGGGAGCTTCTTTGAGCTTTTAAAAAAACCACATAAAATTATAGGACAAAGAAAAATTAGGAATGGCCCATCCCAGCCAAATACCTGCGGCCAACGTGTCTACCAAACCTCAAACTTTGGAATTGCTCAGGCTATTTAATCTGGAGTAAATAACAAATATCTTCTATTGTTAAGTTAAATAATCAATAAAGAGTGGAACCCTGAAAACAACTAGGAAGACTGTCAGGAAGGTTTTGCTTCCTGACTTTTTTCAGAAAGACTTCATTGGGTTTAACCCAACACCTTAATTTACATTACTCTGATTTTTACAAATCTTATTTCTCTGAATTCCTTTCATTTGAAATCAGATGAGTCTCGGGTAATTTTGAGATCCAATTCCATTTAAACAGCCCAAAAAAAAGCAAACATGTGAAGACTTTTTCTTCCCTGCAAGGCCTCAAAGCTGAAAGAGGCAATTGTGTTGCTTGTGAAACGTCCAACATCTCTTCCTCATCAGATGAGACTTTGGTGGAGAATGTTTGGTAATTCCTGGTCAGTCTAATATCTCACCAGCAGATGTCAGAAAAAGAATCAGAGTAATATAAATCAAGGAGTTGGGTTAAGCCCAATGAAGTCCATTCTCAGTTTACTGCAGGATTTTAGCCCAGACATTATCTCACAACGAAGCCTACTTCACAGCCTTGTTGTAGGGAAAAATGGAAGGAAGAGCTACTAAAATACAGCTTTATGCTTCTGGAGGAAAAGTAGAATATACATTTAATGAACGATGTTGAATCAACATTCAACTCAGGCCTGTTCAGACACATGTCCCAAATGAATTTGAAGAAACTCATTTCCCAGGAAAGCACATTCACGGTGGCAATTTTTACTGCTTTTAAGTGTGAAGGAGACCTACTGAATGTGGAGGGAATGCTTAGAATTGTGTTATTAGTTTAAATTGTAAAATTTGCAAGGTACAGAGCTGGAATTATACATGGTTCATTTTACATATTGCTTGCTCGCCTTTAAGCTCGCTTTTATAAACAAATAATTTTTTTTATCTCCTCCTAAGCCACAAATGTTTTCAGTTTGTTTTGTGGATTGAGCTTCTGGCTTTACCAAAATGAAACTGTGAAAACTAATTAGTCTAAAATGCTAAATGCCAGTTTGCCTTTACTGTAACAAATTAACATAGCTACTTCCTTTGGAAACTTTCACTTTGCATAGTATGGCCTCTTTCCTTGCAAAACAGTTGAAGACTGAAATGTACCAGAAGATAGACCTCAAGCTCAAGTAGATGAGTTTTAGATAAACAAAAATAAAATATTTATGTGGAAAGACTGGTACTAGACCTGGAAGCAAACTTTCTCTCTCTCTCTCTCCCTTTTTTTAAAATCTGTTTTGTATCTGGAATTGGGGTGGGGTGGGGCTTGGCAGGGAAAGTCCCTTGTGTGATTCTTGGTAGATTATCTACCAGCTCTCTCTGCTAACATGGAACCTCATGGATCAAACTGAACAGGGTTGGCAGAAGGGCCCACTGGGAATTTTGTCATGTAGACGACTCATTCCCGGTCTTCCTTTCAGCAGAGATGGGGAAGTCCCTTTCACTGCCCTCCTCTTTATCTGCAGGATTGAAGGTGCCTTTTTGAGGAAAAGAGTATTTATGGGGGGGAGAAAACCCTCCACTGGAAAGAAAGAAGATTTGGATTGTGAAAACTCACTTTTTTTTCCTATGTATTGCTGCACGGAGTTGCATGAAGCTTGGAGTGGGAATTTTAAGGGCAGCTCAAATATAATTTTAAGTGAAAATCAATTATCTGATTTACCCCCTGTAGAAAAGAATGGTCCAGGGACATCCGCTCCAGGCTCTTACTTCAGCAAAATTTGACGGGGTTGAACTGGGTGCCTGGTATCCACTCCCCACCCACTCACCCACCGTCCGTCCTCTTCCCACCCACCCCCTTTTGAAGACTGCAAAGGTACCTGGCTTTGGGATGTGTTGCTGACGCCCCAAACAGTGGTTACCACCGAGAGAGATCCTGCAGGCTGATTGGTATTCTGTTGCCAAGGAACTGACTCGTAGGCATATGAACCATCACTAGAGAACAAAACAACACACGGATGATGTGCCGTGTCAGCAATTAGGAACCTCTGGGGAAGTGTTCAGAGAAGGGGCGCAGGGGGAAACAGGGGTGGAATTTGCAACTGGATCTGAGGAAACGGCAAGCAAACCCTCCTGAGCAGATTAAATATATATATATATATAGGATTGCTACATAGTTATGGGTCGTGATCATAAAACGAAGCCTCCGTTTTCAGCAAATTCCAGGCAGGAGGAAGACAGCAAAATTGCAGAGGAATTTGCAGGCAGTTTTGAGGGGACGTGTGTCTTCCAGAACCTCTGCTGACTCTTGCTCTGTGCACTTACAGGCTTACTACAGGGCAGCCGCTAAACCCTGTGGAGGAAAGGAACCTTAGGATTCATAGGTAAGGGTGGGGCAGATCCTAGGAGGTAAGCAGCACCCTTCCACGCCCTATTTTGCCGCCTGCCCATTTTATGGTCCCCTTCTTTCAGTACCTTAAAGTATCCAGTCTGCAGCTTAAACCAGCCATTCCCTCACCCCAAATTTCAAGGAACTGCAATGGATTCTGGTTTATCCCTACGCTATGACACTGCTCATCTCCTTAAAGGCCAATTGAAAGTGCACCGCACAGGTAGTCCTCAACTTACAACCCTTCGTTTAGCCGCTGTGTGAAGTTACAATGACTTCAACCAGTCCTCTTACAGCCACTGCAGGCCTCCCACAGTCAGGTGACCAAAATTCAGGTGCTTGGCAGCCAATGTGTATTTACGATAGTTGCAGCGTCCTGGGGGTGGTGGTGGTGGTCACGTGATCATTGGGGTCACGTGATCACCACTGGTTACTTTCTCAGCTGACTTCCAACAAGCAAAGTCAAAGGGGGGGGGAGCTCGATTCGCTTAACAATTGCACGACTGATTTAACAGCTGCAGTGATTCGCTTAACAACTGCAAAATTGTGCACGTCTGCTTAGCAACAGTAATTATGGTTCCAATTGTGGCTGCAATTTGAGGACTGCATGTACCCCCTTTCCTTTTATTAGGTGGTTACTTCGAATGGAAAACAAGAATTGCTGCTCACTCAGGGATGGGGAACTCTGCATTCCACCCAAGAGCCCCATTGTATTTTCCAGCCTTTTTACAACCCTCAGGGTTGGAGGCCTTAACGAAAGGAAAGAGGCCAGGATGCTGAGCCCTGTGCCCACATTACAAAAGTTGTCAAACAGCAAACCTACAGGATCCAGATGAGAAGAGGCATGGGAAGAAAGCTGATAGAGGAGGCAAGCTGTATCATACTCACCCATGCGGGGTGGGTGGGAGCGATTGTTTCATTGGGTTCATGTGGGTCATTGGCTACAGGGAGGTGAAGGGGCTGGGTGCAGGATCCAAGGCCACGCAGGGAGACCGGTCACTGCCTCTCAGATGTCACAGCAGCAGATAAAACTAGAGGGAAGCAGGCAGGAAGCAAGATGTTAGCAGCTGCACAGAAACACAGGAAGTTTCTCATTCGAAGTCGGACTGTGGGTCCCAGAATTATGCAGAGTATTTCCCAACCTGGGAAAGCTCCCAGAGATGTGGCCTTCTGCAATTCCCATGCTGGTGGGAAATTCTGGGACTTGAGGTGCCCATACCCATATTTCTGGAAGCTATGCGGGTTGGGAAAAAACTGTGATGAACCAATGGGCAACATCTACCCAGGGTTCTAGACGAGCAATTGGGTGCATGAAGTAGCCAAACCATGCCTTTTGTCATAGTCCAGAGGGTGAGATTTCTCCCACCACCACCACCATCCATTTTATCTTCTCAACACACTTGCAAAGAAAGTGGGACTGAGGAAGGTGGAGATCAGGCCAAAGTGCCCAAATGAAGATACTTGAGCTTTACCTCCTCCAAGGTCAACACCCTTGCTTATAATTTATGACTGATCCCTCAAGTGGCAACTTCTCCAAACCAAGGTGGCTGGGTGGAGCTGACTGCCCCAAGACACATGCCAATATACAGAGCTCCTCTCTCAAAACATGTGCTCTCTTGGCCTTGATGATAGGGCCTCCCTCCCTGGTTCCCTTTGTGTCCTCAGATACCCTCTTCTCCTCCAACAGAGTCAAGGCCAGGAGTGGGTGGCAGAGCTGGCACCCAGTCAACCCAACGACTTTGAGCTCTTTTGTTCTGAAGCAGAAAACATCTCCCCGCCCCTTTCCAAGATGCCATGTTTAATTTCTAGGCAGTGCAGGTAAGAAGCCAAATGCACACCTCTCGTGTCTTCTCTTCCACAATGATTTGTCTGTGGCTCTCCCCCCCCCACCCTAGTTTTCCTGAGGGGAAGTGGCCCCATTTGTTTAGCATAGGTTTTCGGCTCTGACTACGTCAACTTTATACAGCGGCCAGAAGGAACTTGGCGTACTGCCCAGATATGGCAAAACAAGGTCCTGGCAGGAGCAAGCTGTCGAGCTGGCCTAGTTACACCAGATTAACTCTGTGTTGCCCACAGCTTCCGGACCCACTCAAGAATGCACATCCATCACTCTACCTGATCATCTATCTGGCCCTTGGAACCTGAAAGTGCCAACACATTCCTTGTGATCACGGAGCCAAACAGAAGAAGACACTATTCACGGGAGGGACACCACGAAAAGCAGTTTTATCCACTCAATAGTCAAGATTTTGCAACCTGTTTTCCATACATAGATGATGCTGAACTGTTATCTCCAACAGTGCTGGCTAGATAACATGGTCACTGGTGAGGGAACCTGGGAGCAGAAACCTCCAAAGGATCACAAGTTGTCCATTCTATCATTAAAAATATCAGCTGAGTTCACACAACATGCCCAGCCCTCGTGGGGTCAAACTTGGTCTGATTATGACTTAGGGTGTGCAAGCTAAGGTGCAAACCTAGACATTTGGGTATAGACAACAAGCTGTTTGTAAACCACCCCATGAGGTTAGAGCATCTTGTAAAACAAAGTCTGTATGGCTGCAGAAAAGAGAGCTGCCTCAACGTTCAGGATCGGGGTGGTAGGTCAGAATAAAATAGTGGGTTTTACGGGAAATAAGAACCCTTAGCTTTACATGGGTAACAAAGAGTTGTTTAATATGTTAAGAAAGAGAGAAGAGACTGCTGGGAAAGAGACGGTGGTGGTGGAGGAGGAGGAGGAGGAGGATCTAGATCAGTGTTT